TATTGTTTATATTCATTAATGTTAAACATATTTTTCAAAACTTTTTTTACTTCCCTGTACGCAATAAAAGAAGTACTGCAATCACGAAAAATTTCGCTTATCATATTTCAGTGAAAATATTCATTTACACCACTCTCGAAACCATCTGAACGATGTTTTTGCATGACTTATATATTTACAAACTAAGGACTGTTTTTTCCAAAAAGGATTTAAAATTGATTCAGAAGATATTTTTGCTTGACATCTGCGCGTACATACATACGTACGTATGTATGTATCTCGCATAACTCAGGAACGAATATCCGTAGAACGTTGAAATTTTGTACATGGGGATTGCTATAACATGTAGTTGTGTATCTTAATTTTTCGTTGCAATCAGGCTACACCAATCGTACATATATATATATATATATACCCACTCTGTTATTTGGCTCAGTGAGCTTAGTTTTTTAATTCTTATATGTTGGTAAATTGCGCATTTTTTGCTTTAATTAATGATGTGGTTTTTATGCCTTATGCAACAGTTAAAAAGAATTATCAACAATTTAAAAGTGGATAGTTAAGCCTAAAGAAGAACCATTTGTTTACATTTGAAACTCAGTAGAATAGTGATTTAAGTCAGTTTCTGCCCCCTCAATGACTTTTTGCCGCGTGAAATCTGCAATAAATATTCAGAATTCTGCTCACCGAAAAGTCTGCCTTCTTGTCGCTGGCCGAATTGCTTGTTTTTGCGTAGAAACTCTAATTTTAATTGTAAAATTTTTTTTAACTGTTTTAACTGTATTACGTGGTATGTTTGTCTGTATTTTACAATTTTTAATAAGGGTGTTTTTATGTATTTTTGCTTTGTCGCGAAGTGAGAACTGAATAAACTGAATGAGTAATATTATATCTTTAATGAAATTCTACGAAATAAGTTTAAATGAAATGCAGCAAAAAAATGGGTATCATTTAATAGGATATACAAAGAAGTCATGTGGTGTCCATATCAGATTTTTTTCGTTTCGGATTTACTCGGCAGATCACAATATCGCACTTTGAAAAATATTGATTTAATAAACATCTTACCAATTACGAATTCCAGTGGATCTCATTTCTTGACTTCCTCTGGGAAATCGATTGCTCAAATTTCTGTCTTTATTTGATATTTTAATTTCGTGAAATAAATTTAATTTCCTTGCGATGCATTATGAAGTTTTATTTCTTACCCTTTTTTCCATGGTAGTCCAGTCATGTCAATTTGTTAAATAAGAAACAACTCTTTCCTATGCTTTTTGCTTTCTTGAAACTCTTGCCCCAGAATTAAATTTTTTAAAGTTGTTGCTACCGACAATAATTTATCATCTGTTTATTCATAAGGCCCTCCTTTAAATTCGTCTCATTCATAAACTGTATCATTGTGTTTTAAACAGCATTTTACGAATTTTGTATATATGTAAATAATTTTATTGAAATGTATATGAAATTGATGTATCTTTTCTATAATGTAATATGAAAAGTCTGAAGAGAGGGAAGCTTTGCCGGAAAAATAAGCATATAGGGGCAAGTCTACTTAACATTAAATCGCTAAATTGGCGAGCTATTGGCAATTTAGCAATGGTTTTAGCGATTAATTTTTGTAGCTAAATTTGGTGAAAAATCGCCAAATCGCAAATCATTTTGCAACATTTTGATTCGTTCCCTGTATAACTGTAATCGGTACTATAATTGAATAATTATAACTGATTCCTATATATATTGATCCTACACTGTATGTAACTTTAAGTCATTTCGAGAAATGGAAGGTACTAGAGATTTCTCGGCAGCCGAGGAAAACTGTATAAGCCCTGATAGAGCATCAATTCTCAGTTCTCCAATTCAGAGTTGACTTCGGAGTACTGAGATTATCGTGCGAACTTCCCTATTTATATTTATATGCGCTTTGCACTGCATTGTGTTTAACGTTCTTAGAGGTTTGAAGCAGTAACTGCTGAATGTGCTCTGTGATACTGAGAAGAGCTGTACGAAGACATTTATGGAAAGTCATAACTGTGTGTCGTCTACTACAAAACGGCTTTTCATTTTTCAAATTGTTGCCACCAAATATTAGAGCCCTGCATTATATTTAAAGAAATTAAATAATGAAGAATCTGCATGAATGTATGTCTGTTTCTCTCACTGTGAAAAAAACAACGGTACCTACAGACATCAAATTTTGAATAAAGTAATCTTCCACTGGAATACGGGCCTCTGGAAACTCAAATTTGTTTTGTAAAACTTTAACGAATATTTTATTAACAAATGCTACAATTTCAAAACAAGAAATGGCAACACTGTATGAAAAAAAGTATTTCCAGCGGTCCAGACTGTGTATAGGAAATTCTAAAGATATGCTCTTTTAAGTATAATAGCTGTACAAGGACATTTATGGAAAGTCATAACTGTAAAACATTTCTTTTGGAAAAATAAACTTCATGAGGCTAACATCGATTCTGTGTGCATTTAATCCATTACGAACCCGTACACAAGGAAAAAACAGGTTACAGTCTATTCCCATTTATCCTCTCTCTTATTCATAAAATTCCCATATTTTTCATCATTTCAACTTCCATATTTTCCCTATTGTTAGGGAAATTCATATGTCAGTTCTTAAATGCACTGCATCATGTTTTTCTAGGGAATTAATCAAATTCATTGTCACAAAGGTTTAACATGTTATCGATATCAGACCACAATCGGTAATGTACAAGATCGTTGTTTGTAGAAAAGCTCATTTAAATATTTGACACAAGTTTGATTTTAAGACAAATATATTTTTTATACTGGCGTAATTATTCTTTTGGATTCATTTCAGAAAGTTTCCATCCGTCTTGCATGACATAGTGTAAGCATAATGAAAATAGCAAAAAGTGCCAATGGGTAATCCTGGATATTACATAATATTAATAAACGAGAGAATTTTGAAAACTAAGATAGATCTGATATTTCTCACTAAAGAACACGAATTTTGTGTTAAATTAATATATTTTTACTCACTTTACTTTTTTACTTTTTTTACTCACTTTTAATCCCCTAACTATTCTTTTAATCTTAATTCGACTAAAATTATATAAAAAAAATCGCTTAAATGCAAAAGCGGATTTTCTTGAGATCATACATTATACCAAAATTATGTAGCTCTTGATTTTATAGCAATTATGTCTTTCCAAACATATTTCAAATTTCCTTTCAAAATATTTTTGCACTTTATCATTATGTTTTTGCTTAACGAATAATAATGTCTCAATTATTACTTTCTTAATTTTTCATTATTTATTTTTAGCCCAAAGGGGCAAGTCCCAGAAGGACTATTAATTTCATTTTGGTATTTTGTGTCGTTCACTATAAAACGGCGTTTCATTTTTCAAATTGTTGCCACCAATTATAGTCGCCCTGCATTATATTTAAAGCAATTAATTAATAAGGAATCTCCAAAAATGTATCTATATTTCTCGAACTTTGAAAAAAAATAGCAGCATCTAGAGCCATCAATTTTTGAATAAGGTAGTCTTCCACTTGAATATGGGCATCTGAAATCGCATAGCTAGAATTTGGAATTTGTTTTATTATCTATTTCATATTTTGTAAAACTTTAACGAATTTTTGATTTACAAACTCAATGATTTCAAGGCAATAAATGGCAACACTGTACGAAAAAAATTATTTTTCTCTCCAGCGTGCGAGATTGTGTATCGGAAATCTAAAGATATGTTCTTTGTTAATTATTTTGTGATAATGCTGTTGAATTGAATTTTATGGTTTAAGCGCGAAGAACATGATATTTAGTAAATAAAAGTAATGCATAAAACGTTAAAAAAATCGCTCTTTGGGCGTAATATAAAATCTGAAAGCTCTCAGACATTTTATTTTTATTATTATTATTAATTGCTGCGCTGTTTGTAGTTTTTTTAATTATTACTTATTACTTAATACTTAACCCTTTGACTGCTCGATTCCGGTTTTTTTTTTCATATTTTGAATCTATATATATTGGAGAATTGAAAAATGCATTTTTACTTTCTAGAAAATATTTGTACATAGATTTTTATCATGAGAAACTAAGTTGCCAGAAAACCAATTTCAGATGTTATCACCAAAAAAAATCTTTTTTAATATAAATTTCAGTCGAATCACAGTTAATTTCTATTTATTTCATAATATAAAAAAAATAAAATGCATAAAATTTAAGAAAATATAAAGCGCTAAGGGGAAAATACCTCAGAAATGCAGTTTAGTCTGATAGAGTTCAAAACAGGGTTCAAGGGCAAAGTCCCAACTTCACAGTTTTTGCTCCAGATTCACTAAATCTAATTACTAATCAGTCTAATTAATAATTCAATAATTTAATTAAATAATAAAGATAATCGCTGAACGTTTAATCGAAGGTAATCGAAGATAATCGCAGGCATTTCTGTAAGAAACAAGCGGCAAAAAGTGAAGTTTGAGCGCTAATACCACGTGCCTTCAAATGCCGCAATTTAGTGGACAACTAACGATATCTGTTGGCCAAAACGTAAACTAAACGCCTAATACTGTGTATAATTTATTTAAATGCTTGAACGGGGAAAAACAGGGATGTGCTCCTCAATAAAGGAAGAATACATATACCCGCGAAAATCGCGGGATAAGCAAATTTTGCTACATTTGAGTTGGCGTGGAAATCACGGGATGATCAGCCAGAGGGTTAATAAGCTCATTTATTCTCATTTTTATTCATTTTGGTAAAGTAGAGAGCAAAGTCATCTTATATTCTTAGAAGGATAGACATCTGTGCCATATACTTTCAAAATTGTCAGCGTTTTACTTCAAACTCAAACCAGTTTAAATTCCTGCTTCTCCTAATTTTAATCTAGGATGATTATCTAATAACATGGTCTTGAAAGGGTTTGTAAAGCTATTTACTTCAATACATTAGCAATTAGCCTTATAATAATAGATGCAAGATGAAAGCAATAAGGATAAAAAAGAAACGCTATACTCACTGCCACGAGATGCCAATTCCACGAGACGCTGACTGAATTCTCTCGCGCAGGGACCTCTGTCGCGTGGGAGTCGACATTTCAGGGACCCATCGCTGATTCTGAAAAGGAAAGAATATCGTTAAAGCAATCTTTTCAAGACTGAGTCCCTTAACTGAGTAACTTAAGTGCTCATCAGTAACAATTTAGGAGTTATCAAGGAACTCCTAACTCATCTTGCAAAAGTATACAAGCGCAATAAAGTTTTAAATAAGTCTTAAGATCAATCCTTGAAGTGTTGTTTCTAGACTTTATTCAGAAACAAAGTAAACGAATTAGACACTGTATTCTTCTGTCACGACGCTGATCAATATATTGAGATTTCCGATATAATATCTTTGTGATAAAACCATATGTAAATTAAGTCTTTCCAGAATAACGAGCTTATCAAAGGTAGTTTTCAATAACCTCGTAAGGTATATTTTAATTTTAAAGTCCCATTCCTATCAACTCTTGTTTCCACTTACAACTCCCTACGAGAATGAGTTTTTAGATTCGCGTTGAATGCAAATGAGTTAGAAGGAGTAATTAAGAAAAATTCAGTTTACTTCGTGAGAGAGAGCTTAGCATCCTGAGTAGCTTGCTTTCGGGCTGACTCTCTTAAAGCCGTTACGTTCGGCCGTTTATTACATGCCTATTGATATCCTCCGGCTAGTTTAAATTAAGGGCCAACTACGGTAGATGCTTGTGTTTAGCTTCGGCTAAGTCACTCTTAGTTAGTTTAAGTTTAGTTCCTGTTTCTTTTTCTGTGTTTAAGCCCAAGTAGAGGCTTTGTCGTAAGCCCGAAAAAGGGCCGACTGTTATCTTACTTTGAGTAAAATAAAGGGTAGTTTTACCCTTCTTACATCTTTAGCTATTTCCACTCAGCGAAAAGTCGCTAAACAGCTGGCTAGGTTCCTCGACTTTCATCATAGACATAAAGAGTAAGGAACACTACAACCTTTTTCCTATAAATACAAAGGCTAAATAACAGATATAAATTTTAAAAAATTTTATGTATAAAATACTCATACCAGCGTCACTAAGCGAATGATCAATTAATTAACATCTTAATGCACCAATAAAAATTACACCTTTATTTTTAACTCAAAACTGTAGCGAATATATTCTGTTACATTCAAACCTAGAAGAAAAATATCTAACATATTTACTCGGGTATGCGGAAGTAATTTAACTCAGCTTTCCCGAATTAACTCGGCTGAGTGAGTTTAGAAATTAATTAACACACACAATTTCTTTTACCCTAACAGAAAATTTTTATCAGCAGTCTGCAATTACAGATTTATTTAGAGTTCGGGGATTTGCTAAAATATGTAAAAAATAAGAAATAAAAATAACTACAACTTTGACTATAGTTTCTGCAGGTATTGTCATCCATTATACACAGATCCACCAGTAGCCTAGCAATAAAGTCGCTGAACACCGATAGTTCGACCGAGATTCGAATTTCGGCTAACGGACTGGCTGCATGGGCATTTTCGTGGTTTTCCCTATATGTAACGAGCCAACGTATACGATCCAGTTTCCCTTCCTTCCGGTCCAGTTTCCCGTCCTCCACAAAGGCTTCCCCAAGCCAAATACCGTATAAGCAAAACTATTTTTAATATCAATATCAATAAAAGCAAGTGTCAATGCGTTAAAGGGAAACTCGGTGTCCCTTCTCGTTCGAAAAGAAATTAAGATTCCCTGGTTTGTTTTCAAAGCTGAAATCAACCAGAGACTTGAGAAAGCTATCTGTAAGTGAGCTTAACATAATTTTCACTCACATTAAGTAAGCTAAGAAACTTTTTTCTCGGTGCTGATCCGGATAGGTAACGAAAATTCAAATTCTGCTGAAATTTTGATATAAAGTATAATCCCTATCGCAGTTTCCATTATAAGATGAAAACATTTTTACAAAATCTACATCATGTGGTTTCTTTTATACTGGTATTCAAAATTTGGAGAATTTTCACATTTCATTATCTCCGGAATTCGTGAACAGATTTTAATGAAGTTTGGTATGGATATAGTACAAAAAAACCGATAGTATACTGAAATTGCAGTACACGCGCAAGATCGTGTTTAAGGCTCGTTGGCGTTAGAATGTCAAAAATAGCGGTTGCAAGATCGAACAAAAAAGAATGCTTAAAGACGGTATGGTCTTCTCTAAAAATCATACAACTCCCGTAATCTGATTTCACACTGGAAATGAAGCAATTTATGAATCTCTGTCTCAGTTGGTCGAATTCTTGCAACAGTGCTGGTTTCAAATTTCTGGAGGGTTCTCAGAGAATAAATTGTAAGTTGCAGCTGCCCTTCAAGAACATTCAAGATATGTTCTATAGGGTTTAAATCTGGAAATCTGGCTGGAGAGTCTGGCTGAAGGTGAATCGTCGTTAAGCTTTTCATCAAGTACTTTCCCTGTCAAAAATGAAAGAAAAGTGAAATAAAAATGCACACAAAAGTAATTATCTAAATTTTATAAACTTGGTATATGTAGTAGATCGATGCAACATTGTGATCACACAACAAGATAAGATCCTTGAAACTTAAATAAGGCTGTTTCGGAAAGCTATTGGGGACATAATTTTTCTGGATAATAGGATATACCACATAGAGTCGATGATTTTCTGGGAGAAGAGGGTATTCACCATATGGTGGACTCAGCAAAGTCATTATAAAAGTCCTAATCTTACAAAGTATGTTTGGGATGTTCTAAGAAGAGCCGTTCATGACGTCAAAGCACTCCTAGGATCTGTCCGCATTAAAACCCATGCTTTTAGAAGAATGAGAGTTGTTGCCCAGCAACCTTATTTACATTATAAGTGCCCATTGTGAAGCATGTAAAATAGTGAGAGGTGCCCTCAGTCTATATTAGCCAGACCACTCTGGAAGTATGAGGTATCACGTTTTTGCCACTTTGGGTTTCATTTGCATATCATAAAATCTTTATCGCCTGTTTATTTTGCTATGACTATTGGCTGTTTTAAAGCATTGTCCATCTGTATACCAAATTTCCTTAAAGTAAAGCAATTGTTTTTCGATGTTTTACATGTTGTGTGTATAACATCTTACACCCTCAGAACCTAAGACGTTTGGACGGTTACTGTAGGACTGTACCTAAGGTCACCACTTTTCCTAAGTCATTTAGCTACCGTAAGACACGGCGCTCAAGCTGTTCACTCCATATGAAGAAAATGCAATTGAATTCCACAGTAAAAACAGACTGCATGCAATGAGCTATCTCTTTCCATCCGTATAATAATAAGCAGGTTATCGATGTCCACAACAAACAATTTTTGCTCACTGAAGACTGCACGATTAGCTGTATATAATTCTACGTAGACCAGAGCAGTATTACAGCTACTCAAACAGGTTATTATACTTTTCATAGGCCTCATGTGCAGTGCCATAAAAGGCTGCTTTGAAAACAAAGAAAGATAGCTAGAATACAATACCAGTTCCAAAGTCATCCATTTACAACTTGAATGGTCGCGTGATGATCGAATGATGAGAGGGGTCGTTCTTATATTTAAATGGCATCATATGGCAATACGATAGAACGCGGATAGAAAACAGTGGAGCTAATGATATTCGAGCGGTTTCTACAATTGGTGTGATTTTCATACGAGCGATTCTATCATGATATCCTTGACTCCTTGGTCTTCCAATGAGAGCAAGTTATCGCCTTCCATGAGATAGCTTGCCAGCATTTTATGATTGTCGCATTACTTCTATCTCCTACTGTGTGACATTTTGACTAACAGGCGGCTTTCAGCCAGATAGTGCAGACTATCAATTTCGCTGTACTTTGTATATTTTAATTTTAAAGATCATTACACCATTTAGGGATTAACCCTTAAACTGCAATTCGTTGCTGCAGTTGAATTTAAATTCGAACTTTGAACTTGGAATGTCTTTTTGAATTATGTCTGCTACGCCCTGACCTGCTAGTGTTCCTGGTTTATTCATCATTGGCTTACTCACTTTTGGAGTACTTGCACAGCTTCGGCGAGTCAAACTTCTCTATTTAGTTTATAAGGCATTTCTCCTGCCTTCTTAGCGTGCCTTCGTGGTGTAGTGCTAGTCCGGTATTTCAGAGGTCCGTTGTTCTATTCCCAGTGAAGGCAGTTGCTAAATTGTCATTTTTCCTGCTTCTAAAAATATACCTAATGTCTCTACAGTGGCGCCCGAACTAAAATTGGATGATGATTCTCCGCACCAGGATTTGGCGATTGGGTCCCCTAAAAACCGAAATTGCCTTTTATAAAGGGGAGTATATAAGGTATTTCTCCCGCCTTCCTAGCGTGCCTTCGTGATGTAGTGGTTCTGCACGCTGGGCCGGTATTCCAGAGGTCCGTGGTTCGATTCCCGGCGAAGGCGGTTGCTAATTTTTCATCTCTCTTGCTTTTCCAATTAACCTAATGTCTCGACAGTGGCGCCCGAACTAAATGGGTGTTAGATTATGATTCTCCTCACCCAAGATTTGGCGATTGGGACCTCTGAAAACCCCAATCGCCCTATAAAAGGGGAAGTATGTAAGGTATTTCTTCCGCCTTCCTAGCGTGCCTTCGTGGTATAGTGGTTCTGCTCGCTGGGCCGGTATTCCAGAGGTAAGTGGTTCGATTTCCGGCGAAGGCGTTGCTAATTTTTTTCATCTTGCCTGCTTCCAAAAAATACCTAATGTCTCTACAAGTTTTGCAGCTAAAGAATTAATAGGTAAATGCTTCTCTTTAGAATTTTTTAAATTAACCTATGCATGTCTCAAAAAACGTCCAGTAGCGTCCCAACAGTAAAGTCGCTGAAACTGGTAGTTTGACTTAAGCTCGATACATGGTGAACCATGGAGTGCTACAATTTGCATGATTTTTATTGGAGCGGCAGGTGCTGATCATGGCTTTGAAGTAAGGTAGTCTAAATTAACTGGTGTACAAATGGGTGAGAACAGTTGATAAGTTACAGTTAAAAAGTTTTCTAATAGTTACAAGTTGGATGTTCTAGTGACGTTCGAATAACGAGAGTTGTCGTTCTTATATGCAGTCGTGACATTATTGAGTCCTTCGCGGATGATCTCTACAAC